TACCCTCCTCACTTCACCTCCCCCACCCCTGCAGTCACCACACTGTTTCCCTGTGCATTCATTTTCCTCCTTTTTTTTTTTTTGCTCAGTCCCTCTTCTCCTCCAGCCCCCCATCTATTAGTCTGTTCTTATTTTTGCATACTGTTATCTGCCTATGTTAAATATTTCTTTAATTCAAATAAATATTTATTCAAACCATCTCTTGGTGGAAAAACAATGTTTTTAAAAGTTGATGTTTTGGCATCACACATTTATAACTTAAGTAAGCTGAAGAATTTCTTTTGATGAAAACACATAAAGAAGAAATGTATAATGTAATGTATTTATAGGTGGAATCATTAAAGTATCTGGAGGGCAAAATAGGAAGCAAAAACCCTAGAATCAGTTTTGGAAAATGGACCAGGACTCAAGGTAAGTGCCTTCCCAGTTAGAAGTGTTCTCATCAGTGATGGTCCAGTGCACAGCATGTGATCAGACCTCACCCACTGGTTCTAGGTGTGCATGCACCCTTCTGGACAAAGCAAGCATGCATGGCCTCTTGTGTCTGCCAGTGGGCTTGCAGGACAAATGTCCCCCCACTGTAACCATCCGTTCTTCAATTCCCCTGCCGTTGATGGGCCCAGTAATACATTCTGTGGCCCATTTTAGAACCCAAAAGGCCCTGAGACAAATGGGAACATCAGGCCACTGGCTTCTACAAATGCCTTCACCCTTGGAGAGGCTGGAGGGAAGGTCCCTTTCTGCTCTGCACAGGAGCTTTCTTACGTTAACCAACTCAATGCAAAGCAGAGACAGGATGGCAGGAGGCAAAGGAGGCAGAAACAAGGACACGTCATTTCTGAAATTCTTACTATGTGAATTAATAAATTCCACTATAATTAAAGAGTTTTGTGTCTGAGACTTTGTGAGCTGCATGTTAAGCCTTTGTGATGCTCCTGTGTTTGTGAATAGCTGCACTCGAATGATGCATTTGGACTCAGAACAACCGACTACATGCAACATGAGATGTTAGCCCCGTGTGCAGCCTCATGGCACCACCCATTCCTCCAGATCCCATGTCTCTGTGATGCCGCTCAGAGCTCGTGGGTCCCTATAATGTGACACGATTGTCACAGAAATGTCTTAGAAAACTTTGCTCCTAGTACTGCAGTGAGCTAACCTCTCACTGACCCGTGACCTGCTTGATGAGTGTATCATGCTAAGATTTCTTAGTCACCTCTGCATCCCTAAGACAGCATCCGCTATGTGTAGGTGCTCAGTAAATGTTTTATGAGTGAATGACAAGCAATAAGCAGTGTCTACTTCTTTTTAATGAATGGTTTTTATCTTTGCTGAGCCCAGTCTCTCCAGCGGTGCCCAGAGATGAGATTTCAATACGTTGTTCTCACCTGGCCTGCTCGTAGGACGAGCCTCTGGTGTGGTCAGCAGCTGGTAGAGGGATTCTCAGCCTCCCTTCACCTTTGCTCAGTGTCTCATCACCATCACGCCAGTTTCCATCCTCAACTGAGACAGTTCTCCACGGGTCATGCTGCACCACCAACAGCCTTTGGCGCCTTTGTGTGAGCATAAAAAACAAACCAAACCCAAGCCATTTCCTCAAGTAAAAATATTTCGAGTTAGAATGTTCTTGATCATCAATTCTAGTAAAGAAACTAGAATTCAGTAAATTGTTATAAAACAGTAACACGTCTTGTTTTCATGGTTATTTCAATGCTTATTTATTCATTCCCTCATTTTATATGCTTCTTAAGTATCTCATTATCCAAATCATTTTTCTTTCTCATGACATTTTAGATTGTAAATAGTTTTTAATAAATTTAACTTTGAGATGCTACATTCTCCATTGGTGATGCATACTGATAAAGTTAAATATACCATAACTGCAAAAGTTTTCAGAGATATGTCCAGTAATTTATTGCTGTACACATAATATTTTAACAGGAGCCATACTAGATTTTTTCTGTCTAATTTTTTTATTTTTCAATTTTTTTATTTATCATCAAACAGGGAGGAAGAGAGAGAGGAGAAAAGAGAGAGCAAAACATCAATGTGAGAGAGACTCATTGACTGGCCACCACCCGCACGATCCCAGCCAGGGCTGAGGACAAACCGCAACCAAGGTATGTGCCCTTAGTGGGAACCGAACCCGGGACTCTGATCTATGGGCCAGTGCTCTAACACTGAGCAAAATCAGCCAGGGCTTTTTCTAATTTTTGTATTGTGGATACAGTTCAGGGGAATTAAACACATTCATAGTCGTGCAATTCCCCACATCCACCTTTGAAACCCTTTTCACCTTGAAAGACTGAAACTGCCCCCATTAAACAATAGCTCTACTCTTTTTTTCCCCAGGACCCCAACAACCACATTCCACATCCCACTGCTACAATATTACTACCCTAAGTACCTCATAGCAGTGGGATCATACAGTATTGGAGGGGAAAGACTTGTTGATTCCATTCAGCACATCCTCAAGGTTCATTCATGTTGCAGTGTGTCTCAGGATTCCCTGTGATGCTAAGTGATGCTCTGCTGTATGAACGTCCACATCATGGTTGTTCATTCCTGTCAAGGGACACTTGATGGCTTCTATATTTTGGCTCTATTCTTATGATCAGCAGCGTACATTCTGGCCTCTCCATATGTTGGTGTTATATATAGGAGAGTTGTTCAGAAAATTGTGGCTCGGTTGGTGTTGTCTCATGCAGTGAAAGGTTGCCGGCTTGGTTCCCGGTCAGGGCGTGTGCCTGAGTTTCAGGCTCCTTCCCCAGTAGGGGGCATGCCGGAGGCAGCCAATGGATGTTTCTCTCTTGATATTTCTCTCTCTCTTTCTTTTTTCTCTCTCTAAAAATCAATACAAATAATAAAAATATAAAATAAAGAAAATGTCATAAACGCAATGACATCAACTACAGCACACATTTTAAGAGATGTTTTATTCTATGTACATGGACCTTCAGTGATCTGAAGAGATGCTTCAGAGCTTCCTTGGGGCAGAAGAAATAGCTCACATGCACACACACACACACACACACACACACACACCCCTAACCTGAGAAGCTCATTACCTTTTTTGGTCTGTGTTATATGTTGAAATTCTACGGAAATGCCATTTTAATAAAAAAAAATTTAGAATATATTCATATTTTATTTAAATAAAAAGTTGCTCTGGTGAGAAGCACTTGGAAGCCACTATGAGGACATTTGCAGCATTACGCACGACAAGGCTGCTGCCTCATTTCTGGAATAAATACTATGGGGTTGTTCGCACTCGATTCTTGAGAGACTCCAGAGGTGGCTTGGTTTATGAACAACTTTTCAGACTGCAAAGGGCAGCCTAGAAATCTCTCCCTACAACCACATTGTGATGGCGCTTCTGTCTCATGCCCTGGATGGAGGTGTGGATGAGCAGCCGGACCGGGGCTGTGGGCAGCCTGAGCTCAGGTTTGTCACACCTCACAGTCCCTGCAGTTGAATGGGTGGAAGGACTGTGGCAACCATGTGTCAGGAAAGTTTGTTGGCGCCATTTTTCCAACAGCATTTGCTCATGTTGTGTCTCTGGATTACATTTTGGCAATTTGCACAATATTTCAAACTTTTTCATTATTATTATTCTATTTGCTATAGTGACCTCTGATGTCACTCTAAAAAGACCCTGTACTGTCAGTAAGATGATGACTCACTGAAGGCCCAAATGATGGGCAGCATTTTTAGCACTAAAGAATGTTTAAGTTAAGGGATGTGCATTATTTTAGACATAATGCAATTGCACACTTAATAGTGGAAACATAACTTTTATGTACACCAGGAAACCAAAAATTTTATGTGAGTTGCTTGATTGTGCTACTTGCTTTATACAGGTGGTCTGGAACTAAACCCACAGCATCGCCGCGGGGGCCCTGTCAGCCCCTAACCACGGTCTCACTTTCCACTTTCAGTTATCCAAGGCCAACTGAGGTAGGAGAATGTTAAATGAAAAATTCCAGAAATAAGTAATTCATCCATTTTGAGAGGCACCCATTCTGAGGAGCGTGATGACACTGTCCCTTTGTCTCCCACCCATGGGTCACTCAGTAGCATCCTGGGCACCAGATCAAGTACCCCAGGGTCATGGTGCCTGTGTTCCATTAAGCCCTGTTTTGCCTAATAATGCCTAACTCACAAAACTTTTATTATAGTATATTGTTATAATTGTTCTATGTTATTATCAGTTGTGCAAATCTTTCACTGTGCCTGATTTATACATTAAACTTGACCACAGCTCTGCATGCATTGCATTTGGTACTCGGTGGTTTCAGGCTTCCATGGGGGTGGGGTCTCAGAACAATTCCCCTGTGGATAAGGGAGGATTATTGCACTTTTAATTTTTTCTTCTTTGTTGATTTGAGATAGAGAGGGAGGGAGAGGGAGAAAGAGATGGAAACATTGATGAGAGAGAACATCGATTGGCCACCTCCTGCATGCCCCCTCTACTGGGGATCGGGCCCACAACCTAGGCATGTGCCCTGACAGGGAATTGAATCAGCAACCTCTAGGGGCATGGGTCGACACTCAATTACTGAGCCACATAGGGCAGGCCCTATACTTTTAAAACTACTTCACATCTCTGTAAGAGTTACTTAACTGAAGATCCACTAAAAAGGAATTTTATACTGTGTAATAGCACATGTGTATCAATTTCTACAAAGACAATGAAAAATTCATGAATATTACTTTTTTTTTTTACCTTGGATTATTATGAAAAACCATATTGCTTACACCAGAAACTAAGTAATAATACAATGTTCTATTTCTTCACTGAGTGATAAGAAATTCTCTGGCACAATGAATAAATCATGACATCATCTAACTGTAAAACGTTTTATTTAACAAGTGAAATCACATTGAATGAAATCAGATTGGGGGGAAATCAGTTGCTTGCTAATTAGTGGAAAGTGACAACACATGTGTGGACAATGTATCCAGCAGAATGTTGGAGCTTGATGCAGACGCGTGTCCTGTCCAAGGTTTCTCATTCATGCTCTTTCATAAACTCTGGTGGAAGTGATGCCTTTCATGGTACATTCCTGGACACAAAAATAGCCTTGGTCAGTCACAGGACCAAAACCATTGCTTTGTTCATTGCCTCCTTCCATGTTGGGAAGGAGACAATACTCGTCCAAGATGTATTTGCTCTGCGCCCCTAACATACCTGATGTTGCACTAAATCAGGGAGATATCAAGACCAAAGAAATACAAACCTTCCCTTTAAGGAGCCTGGTTAGATGGGGAGTGAGAAATATGAGCAGAAATTCGCACTGCAACATGGTGCATGTGGCGGGGGTCGGGGAGGGTGGGCAGCATGCCAGGCAAGCTGTGCTCAGGGAGGCCATTGCCAGAGTGAAACACACCCCGACAGAATCACTGTTTGTTCTGCATAAACGACAGCAACGCTCTGCTTTGGTGGACGACAGCTGTCGGTGGCCCAGCACTGGAGTCTGGACTGGAGCACACTCACCACCACAAGATCATTGTCCACGTGCTTCCTCTTGATGGTCGTGGACTTTCCGTCCCACGCCTGCACCTGCATGAGGACGCCTCCATGTGAGGTCATGGTGCTCTGCGTGCAGGGGGAGTGGAATCAGAAAACACACCACTTCTGTGGTAAGGCATCTTTGAGGTCATTAGAAATTCTAAATTATGAGAATATCTTGCAACAAGAAAATAAAAGAATGTCAAAAATAAAATCATACAATGTTACATACACATTGTGGCCAGAATATTATATGAACATTCATTTGAAAAAAATACTGTGAAAGAATATCAATAACAAATGTATGTTGAGATGGTAGTATCACAATTTTTTAAAAATGTCCCCACGCTTTATAAATTTCTCTAACATTGTTACTATAATCCACTTCAAATACCATATATATGACATGACAAATTATGGTGTTTCTTAAAGTAATGACAACTTGATAAAAAGGAGTACAATTCACCAACCACACATCGAAGGCACTGTAGTTTAGATGTGGGAGGTCGGGGACAGCCAGCCTGTGTGAAGGGTTTTCTGTCCCAACCCCTGTTCCTCACCTTGACTTTTCTGTCATCTGCAGTGACTTCGTCAAACTCCTGGCCCAGTTTGAAGGAAATCTCCGTGTTTTTAAAGGTGCTTTCAGATTTAATGGTCATCACATCCCCACTGACAGCAATACTCATGTTGGGCTTGGCCATGCCGGCCACCTTCCTGGTAGCAAAGCCCACTCCTGTGAGTGGGGAGAGGAGAAACGTCATGTTCACAGTTCTCTCGCATCTTTAACAAAGAGCTGCATTGTGTGCGTGCATGTGCACACTCGTGTGTGTGGGTGAGGGTGTGTGTGCACAAGGACACCAGTGAGTCCTGAGTCACCTCCTCTGGCAGGTGAGTGCAGAGGCGGACCCGGGAAGAAAAGCATGACACACAACTGGCTGCAGGCTGGCTCCTTCAGCTGCCCCTCTGCATTCAGACGCAGCACCCAGGAGCCCAGGTGTTAATTTGCAGCAAGAACACGTACAAAGACGAGTCTTCCAGAGCACACTTGTTTTTAACAAGTCACTGCACTCAGGCGCCTGGCATTGTTCGTGAGAGTGGCCTCTGCTGTATCACACAACCCACAGAACACCTGCCACCGCAGCCATTCCTTAGATACAGAGGATCTAATCCACACTCAGAGACGGAATTCTCAATAGGATTTGGAGCCAATATGGAGTTACTCCACTAAAAAGAAGTCATCTCTTTGGGTGTCCAAAAATCACTTCTCATAGCATTTGCTGCCCATTATTTTTTACATTAGTCCACCATACATGAAGACTTTGAGGAATTTCTCCAAAGACACAATGTTTCCTACATGCATGCCACTTTTATAACAGTGATATGGCCCTCACTCAGCTACAGGAAGGTTAAAGAGGGTCTAGGTGTTGATCATGAAAATGTCAAAATTCAAGAAATCACTATCTTAGGCGATTGATTTCCAATCGCCTAAGTTACCCATTTATCTTTTCTTACAAAAAATTGACTTCCCTTGTGAAGGGTGTGGGATCAACAATGTTCAACCCAACAGACACCACAGTAACAACCTCACTGCCTGTGTTGAATTCTTTAAAACACATATACATAAATCTAAGCTGTTGTTTTGAGTAAAAGTTACTTACAGGTGCCAGAGGTTAGAAATGAGGCACTGGGAAGAAAAACAGTGAACAAGACGACTGGTGCTGAGTTAGATTTAGCTCCCTGTCAGAGAAGTGGCCACAGCAGGGAACATAACATGTTGTTTCATCAAGTCCTGACCCAGTTACAAAATATAACATCAAATAAGGGGAGTGATTAAGCACCATGACTGGAGGCAAAGTAGAACATGGTTCCAGGGTGCCCAGCCTTGGGCAGAATCACACTCCCACCTGCCTCATTCTGCCCTCATTTGACTGATGAAGGTGACCCCTGCTTAAGGATCATCAGTTAGAGCAGCTCATTTCAGGAGGTGTCTTACTATCTTGTTATCAGTACTTTGTCACTTTAAAATATAGTAGTAGAAGAATTTAAATATAAATAGCAAAAGTGTAAAATGTTTCTACAAATCAATAATTAGCTAAATAGCTTCAAATCCTGGCATTTCTATATCAGCGTGTATTAGTTTATGAAATCAAAATTAGTGATATTCTAGAAAGTGGGAGAGGACTCACTCATGCTGAAGTCCTTGATTTTCCTCTACCTCGATAAACAAGAAAAATAGTAGTTATATAAAGCAAAAATATGCTATATGACTTGGGGGAAGGTTAAATCTTGAGTTTGAAGGAGTAAATAATAATCCCTAATAAAGATATTGTGGGAAAGTCCTTCCCAACTCGTCCCCTGGGTAGGACTCAATCAGTCACAGGGATGTAGGAGAGAGGTTTTCATGGTGAAGAAGACTCAAAGCTGGGAACGTGTCTTCCTACAACCTTGCACTCTCTCCCTAACTACCTGGGGGCCTCCGCGGAGCACACCAGCAACATTAATGGAACATAAGGACCCAAAAGTCTCGGTTATTATCAAAGAGGAGGGATGCTATGTGTAACACTTTCTTTTCTAATTACTCAGTAATTCTATGGAATCCCATGGATTTGCTGGTCACAGAAATATTTAAGCCCTTTGTGGAACATACTCTCTAAAATTAAGACTTTTAGGGGAGGGGGTTTGTGGTACTGGGTGAAAAAGGTGAAGGCACTAAGCAAAAAAATCCCAAAAAACTCATGGACACAGACAACAATGTCACCCCAATAAATTCAATAAAAAAAAAAGATTTAGGCCCTGGCTGGTTTGGCTCAGCGGTTAGAGCGTCGGCCTGCGGTCCTGAGAGATCCGGGTTCGGTTCCCGCTAAGGGCGCGTACCTCGGTTGCAGTTTGTCCCCGGCCCTGGTTGGTTGTGCGGGTGGCAGCCACTCGATGTGTTCCTTTCACATCGATGTTTCTCTCTCTCTCTCTCTTCCTCTCTCTCCCTCCCACTCTACCTGAACAAAAAATGGAAAAATGTCCTCGGGTGAGGATAAAAAAAAAAAAAAGATTTAGTCCCCCACAAAACAACTGCCTATTTAAATGGATTGACATTAAGACAATACAACAATTGGTTAACATACGTTTACTTTAAAAATTACACAAAGATGAGAAACACTGTGTCAAAGGCCACTGCTGCCTGCTAGGAACTAAATACGGTTTCATTCCCAGGCTACCACCCCTTTTCATGCAAGAAGGAATGAAAGAGAAGCAGACAGCCGAGTCAACCAAAGACCAGGTTCAGCTATCAAGGGAAATCTGGTCAGCTCCATGACCTACCAAACTTCCACTGAGACCTTTTCATGTTGGTTCCCCTGTGGCTGTGACTTGGGTGTTCAATATTTCTGTGAACAAATGGTTCCCACTTGCTCTTCTAAAGCTTCTATACAGAAACAGCATTTCCCATCTGGCCAACGCTTCTCGAGTGAAAAACAGCCACAGCCCCTTGTCCCCAGAGGAATGACTGCAAATCCCCCACATGTCTGCTTACCCACTTCTTTCATGTAGTCATCAAAGTTTTCACTGGAGACGAGTTTCCAGGTACCTAGAAATGCATCACACATGCTGGGAGCCGTCTGGGACTGTTGTCCAAGGTGAGAAGGAGCTGGAGCCTCTGGGATGTGCTGTGCCCATCAGAGTTCAGTTCCTGTCCTTTTAAAGATGCCCAGAGCATGTGACCTGAGGAAGGGCCAATGGGGACGGAAATTGGACCATTTCTTTCAGTACCAGACCCTGCATGTTCCCCTCTGACTCATGTTTTTAATAAAAATATCTCAGCTTTGGTTCTCCCTGGCAAATGACCACTGGACTGAGAGTACAGATTATTTTTAAACCACTTACAGAGTATTTTAAACATGGCTGTTTTGATAGTTGAAATCCTCAGCAATGCATTTCCCCCTATTATTTTCATATGCATTTGTTCCAGTGTGGAGCAGAGCTGGGTCATTATCTTGGGATGAGCTTTGACCCCTTTTTCTGGAGTTTCAGTTAAAATTACAATTATGTGGTTCTTATGAATTGAGGATCATATGAAAGGGAAAACAATGACTTATCTTAATACAGAGATAACTTTGTGTCATGTTCTAAATTAATAATGGTTTACTTTTTAATTTTGTTTTTGTGTCATTTTGTTTTTAAGAATATTTATTTTTTATTTTTTTATCCTCACCCGGGGACATTTTTGCATTTATTTTAAGATAGAGTGGGAGGGAAAGAGGTGGAAAGAGAGAGAAAGAAACATTGATGTGAGAGAGACACACTTAGTGGTTGCCACCCACACGACCCTAACCAGGGCCAGGGACAAACTGCAACTGAGGTACACGCCCTCAGCCAGAACCAAGTCCGGGACTCTGGTACACAGGCCAATGCTCCAACCACTGAGGCCAGGGCCTTTTAAGACTATTTTTAAGAGAAGTTGAGGTTTACAATAAAATTAAGAGAAAGGTATAGAGATCTCCTTTACACCTCTTACTGACCATCCCACACATGCATAGCCTCCCCCACTATCAACGTCACTCAGAATGGCACTTGTTTTTTGTTTTTGTTTTTTACCAAGGACAAATCTACATTGACACATCATAATCCCCAAGGTCCAGAGTTTACTTTGGAGTTCAGCGGTGTTCTCCATCCTATGGGTTTGGACAAATGTACAATGTCATCAGTAGGGTGTCTACGGAGTAATTTCATGGCCCCAAACCCCCCACGCTCTGCCTGCTCACCTCCCTCCCACCGCTCACCCACCATTGTTGTTTTCACTGTCTCCATAGTTTCACCTTGTCCAGAGTGTCATAGAGTTGAAATTGCATGATATGAAGCCTTTTCAGACTTTTCATGGCTCTATAGCTCATTTCTTCTCAGCATGGAATAGTATTCTGTTGTCTGGATGGACGAAGTTTACTTCTCCCTCACCTACTAAGGGACATCTTTGCTTTTCCCTCAAATTGGCGATTATGACTAAAGCTTCTGTAAACATACACGTGCAACTTTTTGCATGGAAATGAGTCTTCGGCTCCTTTGAATGAATGCAAAGGAGCATGGTGGCTGGACAGTAAGGTAAGAGTGTGTTTAGGTTTGAAAGAAACCACCAAAGTGTCTCCCGAGGGGTCTGCACCATGTTGCACTCCCACCAGCGATGCCTGAGATTCCCGTTGCCCCTCCCTCAGCACTCAGCTCTGTCAGCATCCAGGCTTCCGCCTCTGGTGGCTGCCCTGGGTCTGGCTGCTGATGCTCTGCCTGTCCCTCACAGCACCTTCTCCACTGTGACTTGGCTTCTGGGCACCTTCTAAGTGCGGTGTCTGCTAAGGTCTTTGCCCCATTTTTTAAATTAGGTTGTTTGTTTTATTATTATTCAGGTTTTAAATTAAAATATATTTGACATATATTATTGTTCAAATGTAAGGTACACAACATGTTAGTTTGATGATTTATATATAATAATATGACTGTATTGTAGTGATAATTACAACCTCTGTCATGTTATACAATTATCTTTTCTTCTTAGTGATTAGAGTCATTAGCTTCTTAGTCTCTAGGCAAGTTTGATGATTATAATACAATATTGTTGTTGTCTGTGTTCTTGATATATTTTTGATAACAGTCCTTTAGCAGATGTGTCTTTTTGCAAATATTTTCTCTCAGTCTATGAATAATGGTTTACTTTTCAAAATACATATTGATGCTTTACTTTTGTAACAAAATGCATCAATTGAATTTTCAGATGATTATCACATTCTAATATATATCACATGTATTGTAACACTGCAATGTAACACTGTTTTAGAGATGGGCAGTCCGGTATTGTCATCTCTTGTCAGTATTGAATACTCTGAATGTGGCTGGTATGACTGAGAAACTATTTCATTTTGTTTAATATTAATTAAAATTTAAGATACACTCCTTAATTCATCATTTAAAAATGTTTAACTATGTTTGGAAGAACCTGGGTATGTTACAACATCTGAATGCCTATCAATTATTTTAAAAGAAAATTTGGGGTCTGATTTGAGGTGTACGGTTCCTATAAAATGCACACTGAGTTTTGAGGACAATAGGAAGTAAAAGCACAATCTCTAATTTAAAAATTTTACATTGATTATATTTGGAAATGACAAATTTTAGCTGTATTGAGTTAAATACACTATACCACTAGAATTAATTTAACCTATTCCTCTCTTACTTTTCTAACATGGGAACTAGGGAAGTGTAGCAAACCTGTGTGGCTCACACCTAGCCTCGTGAGGACCATGGTGCATCAGGCTGGTCGGCTTGTGCAGCGGTGGCGGGAGCTCTGTGGACCCCTGGGAGCGCGGTGCTGAGCCGGCGCTCACGGAGCTCACACCGCGGGCCAGGAAGGCAGGCGATGTGCACGCCCACAGGCCAGCAGCAGGGAGCGATGGGTTTTGGGGAAACTGAACGGGCATCTGTCGTCATGACTGCTGGGAGGGTGAGCACTCAGGGGCTGGTCCAGAAAGGCTAGTCCCAGGAGGTGAACCACGAAGCTGATACCTGAATGATGAGAAGAAAACAGCTTTGGAAGGATCAGAATAAAAGAGTGTTCCAGACACAGGGAACAGAAGTTGGTGGTTTGCTTTTTCACCCCAATTTGACAACTAACAGCAAACCACGGCAGGTGGACACACATATCTGCAAGTGTGTGTTTCCACTGAGCAGGGTCCGAGATCTTCTAAGACAGGGATTTCTCTCTGGAGTATTCGTGGATGGATATAAAGAAATTAAGTGTTCAGCACACTACATAGAGGAGATCTTAATGACATAGATTAGTGAGAGTCTGCAGAAATACCTCAAGGCTGCTCTGTTTGTCAGCAGCCTCGTGTTTCTATGTTCATGGATGTTGTGCCTGGTCATTGGTGGAGAAATGCCACAGCTGAGGGTATCTAAACACAACCACTGGCTCCGTTCATGACTACAGACAGACAGGAGTAGTAACAACGCATAGCAAAGGGCCTCGGTGACTTAGCCAGGGACGAACGGAGATGTGAGAGGGAGTTGAGTCTACGTGAAGAAAGTCCATGTTGTCGGTTGTGTAGAGGAGCAGGACGGGCTGCTCAGAGTGACTCACTTGGAGGGATGTTCAAGGCAGCTCAGCTGATGTTCCAAACTCATGTGCCGTCCTGTGGATGCTCAGACCCTATCCATGCACACGTCCACAGGGTCCTGTGTCATGTCAGGTAGAGAATTCCTCCTGGACAATAAGCTTTCTGGGAATTCAACATAAAGGCCCACAGCTCATAGTCTATGCATTTTCTTTGCAATCTAACTGGAATATAAGCAACTGCCCAGTTCCTCTGTAAATTGTTTTCACACAGTTCCAGAAATGTAACCTCACCACATGGATAAGAGAGGATGTTCCCTCAGCAAACAACCACCATCTGCCACCACAGTGTGGATGGATGGCTGTGGGAATAAGGTGAGATAATGATGGTAATCACACACAAATAATTTGACATCACGCGGCCTGGGTTCCCACACTCCCGGAAGAACATTCTCCTGATATGTGAATGCAGGGAATTTGAAATTAACCCAAACTGTAGTGCTCATCCTTTCTTGAAAACTAGTAGAAATTATACACATTTTCAAACCTGATTTTATTGTTTAAAGCTCACACTAATAAATAATTTTGACAAAAATTGTTTTGCAGACCCACTGTGTCCAAGACATTGTGTTAGAGCAGAGTGTTAAGTCATGATAAAAGTCACACATGATTTCTGTCTTTTCTTTATGACCCCAGTTCTAACCTAGTTATCAGCCTGGGGCCAGAGTAAAACACAAAACCTTTTTAGATGTTTTATTTTGACAGACATTTAATATGGGCTTTTTTTGTTTTTTGTTTGTTTGTTTTGCACATGAGGCACTTCCTGATCTCCTGATTTTTTACACTTTCAGCACCTTTCATTGGCATAAAGTGTGTAGAAGATGAACCCTTCCTTCATCCCAACCGTCTTTCTTTCCTTGTCTCCCTTCTCCATTCTGAACTCTGTCCCATTCATGACTTAACACTCCTAGTGCCTTGTTTGTTCCCCAAATATTTGCCAAGTTAGGCACTGATGAACAGAAAGAATGAGGTGTGGGTTTGGGGTACATCTCATGCCTCATGCTTGGGTAGGAGATGCAGACTGACAACCATGGCAGAAATCCATGTGTGGCACCAGGAAGGGCACAGAGCACACTGGAGGCAGGAGTGAGCTCTCTCACGAGGCAGAGTTAAAGGACAGCGAGGGGCCGAGCAGAGAAAACTGTGATGAGCAATGGACCAGCAGGGAAGAAAATTAGGAAATGCTATAGGGCTTGGCTGGGTGGCTTAGGGGGTTGGAGCATTGTCCCATGCACCAAAAAAAGGTTGTCAGTTCAATTCCCAGTCAGGACAAGTATGGGAGGCAACTTATGTGTCTCTCTCTCTCTCTCTCTCTCTCTTTCTAAACATATCCATGGTGATGATTTAAAGAAAAAAATATAAATTATATGGAATGGTTGTAGAAAGCTTCTTTCTCATTGGGGAAGCTCAGTCCCACAACAAGGTACATCAGAGAAAACTTGCATCATGTCACAAAAGGGACTCCCACAGGGTGGCTCTGGTGCTGCTCACCATGCTCACATAAGCTCTGGGATGCACACCCAGCCACCCTGCACCCAATTGCAGGACAGGAGTCCTCAGTGTTGGGTCTGCTCCCTTGGTAGTGGAGCTGGGGACAAGCTCAGCCCGCAGCACTCGCTGGGACAGCCAACTTCCCTGAATTTGGCTCCACTGGGGACGACCTCTGAGGACTGGTCCCCTGACCTTTGCCTATTTGTTTCCTTTGGAGGAAATGAGAGTATTTTTCTAACAAGTTTTACATTGAAGAGAAAAC